TGGGCCCATACCATATGCTGCGGGCCAAACATGATCTTCGAGCACATTTTCAATGTAAGTTTGAGCACACAAGCGCCCGGGAACAACGACGAGATCTGTGCGCTCGTCCAAACTAACTCCGCCCAAACCATCACAGAGCCACAACCAAATTTGTCATATTCCTGGACTGCTGGTGCACTGTATCGCTCGCCTGGGCGTCTGTAAACACGGAGACGACCATCGCATCGTGTTAGACGGAATCGTGATTCGTCAGTAAAAAGCACTGGCCTCCAATGTCGAAGTTGCCAATTAGCGTGATTTTGCGCGAACTGTCGGCGAGCTTGTCTATGTTAAATTGTTAGACGCACAGCCCGAACTGGTCGGCGTGATCTCAAATTGGCTTCCAACAACCTATTTCTTACCGTCTGGTCGGAAATTTCTACACCAGTAGCCGTCCTTAGTGTATTTTGTAGATCTCTTGCAGTTGTGGTGCGGTTACGTAAAGCACAGTTGACGATGTAGCGATCTTGCAAACGTGTAGTTTTTCTCTTTCGACCTTGACCACGCCTTCGTGAGTATTCTCCCGTCTCACGGTATCGCTTCCAAAGTCTGTAGATAACAGAAGGGGCTACTCCTAGATCATTTCCTACATAACGCATAGTTCGACCCACTTCAAGCAAAGCGATAGCTCGGGAGACATGCAATTCAGTCAGATCTGGCATTATGACCTAAACTCACTCGCTTCAATGAATAACAATACTCAAAAGGCTCACTTCAATTTCTATTAATACTCAAAAGATTGAAAAAAACTACTTAAAATGTGTTTTCTGTGATTAGAAAGTAATGAAAATTCAAAGACGTCACTTTGTTATAGGACTACTAAAACGCCGATGCTCTTTTGTTTTTTATTTTCTTCGACAATGCCTTAACATTATCTAGTGGCCAGTAATAATTAAAACCTTAAGTAAAAAGTTTAGTTCTACTTTAAAGTTTTGTTCCCGTAATTGTTTAAAATAAGGCAGTTGAAATGGCGCTGGACTGGGCACATGACGCGAGATAGCAGGTTGAAATGGACAAAAATAATTACAGAATGGCAACCACGTGATGGAAAAAGGAAACGAGGAAGACCGAGCAAGAGATGGGCAGACGATATAAAGATAATAGGAGGCACAACTTGGACAAGAAGAGCTAATATCAGAAAAGAATGGAAACAGCTGGAAGAGGCCTACGTGTCACAGGACACGCTGACTACCTAAAACGGGTCAAGTGACGTATTAGATTAAGTTTTATTTATGTATTAGAATTAAGTGTTTGTTATGTAACTTAAATAATTGTTATTGCATTGTACTGGGTGTCAGCAATAAAGGCTAATGAATGAATGAATGAATGAAATTGTTTTGAGCAGTATATAATTGACCTATTCTTTTATTGATAATTGTATTTTAATTTATCATAATTGACAGTGAAAATAAAATGGCAGAGTGACAGCACACTTGTTCTTTATTTGTTGCGTCTTCCAAAAAGTAGGTTTCAATATGGCTGGCTTTGGCTTAGACTCATCCCCTCCAAGTGGCTGGCATTTGCGGTTGGCAGGCATAGCGGTTGGTTAGAGGGTTGGTCAACATGGCATGGCTTGGCTTTGGCTTGACTTTGGCAGGATGTGACTGGCGACGTCACGTCCGATACACTCGACCATCCTGAAACAGTTGATCCCGTGGGAACTACAATTAGCTCTGTAATAAATCAATCAGATCTTCGGTTTCAAGTTGCTCATCTGAACTGCTGGCACTATCAGATACAGTAATAATGCATTTATAGGTTCTTAACGAATCGGCAGATACTAATCCAGTAAAACTCTTATATTCACGTAAACCCTTTATACTTCTCATTTAGTACCTATCATTGCCCACTACCTTAGTTACGACATAAGGACCGGAACACAAGTCGTCAAGTTTAGTGTTAACTTTGGATGCGCTACAAGTCGGTGCTTGTCGCCATAGGACAAAATCACCCTGCTTATAGATAGATGTGAGCAGATTTTCGCTTTTTGTTAAAGTAACGTTTCATTGTAGCACTCGCATCCTATCAGATGCTTTCTTTCGACGCGACTCTACTGGTTCAGAAACACGCCCGGGAACCGCAACATCACATACTGATCTACCAGCCCGAGCAAACATCAAATCGTAAGGTTTGTACGTGGTGGGTCTTATTAATTGTGTTGTTAATTCCCCACATTATGTCGGGCAAAGAGTTAGCCCAATTGCTAGAGGCTTCACTGGGGTCTGTGGCTCGTAATGCATCCAGTATTGTCCTATTTGTACGTTCCACTTGACCGTTAGAACGCGGATCAATAGCATTGAGAGGAAATAAATAAATAAATAAATGTCTAAATTGTTTATCATTCGAAAACTTCTTAAAATTCCTACTCGTGAAGTGTGAACGCCTTTACGTGATCGGTGATTATGTGATCAGGGAGGAAAAATAAACTAAATAATCTACGTAGTACACGAATAGTTTCGATCGAGTTGACAGTACGCGTTGGCTCAGCTATCCAGTCTGTCATAACGAGCATAATATATTGATACCCCTTATTTGTCTTAGTAAAAGGGCCAATGTGATCAATATGAACCATTCTCATAGTAGTACGGGAGGTAGCAACGTTTTCGAGAAAGAATTTTAGGTCAGCTGATTTTGTGATATGTCTTCCTTCTTGCACTTAGTCTCGGTTTTTTCTCGGTTAGAGTCTTGGCAATCTGGCTGGCGGTAGCGGTTGCGTTCTTTAGTGCGCATCCTATCTGTCCAGGTAATATCCTGGATTTTAAAAGCATTTTAAGAAGCGTAATTTTTAATTATTCGTTTTCAAATAAGTCTACCTGACATACTTTTTTTATTGCCAGACATTTTTCACATTGCTAACTATGTGCCAGACGCGATTTTAAGTTTTTTTTTTATAAAAATTTCAAAGTTTTTTAGAATGTCTGTAATTTTAATATTATGTTATTTAAATATAAGAAAATCTAAAAATTAATTTGCCAGACATTAATTCGATTGTTAAGTCTTGAATTAAAATTAAAAAGTATTGCAGTATGATGAAGCATTGCATTTTAAGAAGCGTAATTTTTAATTTTTCGTTTTTAAATAAGTCTACCTGAATAACTTTTTTTAATGCCAGACATTTTTCACATTGCTAACTATGTGCCAGACGCGATTTTAAGTTTTTTTTTATAAAAATTTCAAAGTATTTTAGAATGTCTGTAATTTTAATATTATGTTATTTAAATATAAGAAAATCTAAAAATGAATTTGCCAGACATTAATTCGATTGTTAAGTCGTTCCTATCTACATGTTTCATGTGTTCTCCCGGCCTATACTCGACACTTATATCGTAATCTTGTATAGAAAGCCACCACCTCGCGATACGTGGTATAATGTCGCGTTTTAGTAAGCGTAGCGCGGACTGCTGTACAGTCAGTAACAATCTTAACCTTTTTCCCAACAATGTATACGCGAAAACGACGCACAGATTCCACGACCGCCAGAGTTTCAAGCTCATAACTATGATACATGCTCTACTAAAGTATATAACGGGGCGCAACGTACCGTCAGGCTGCTTTTATAGAAGTTTACCGGCTATTCCCAATTTACACGCGTCAGTCATAAATCAGTTACCTTTTCCTTTGCTGCTTATACGGCTGTAACGGAGATTCCTGGTAGCTTTCAGCCCTTGTTAGGACCTCTTCCGGCGACCATGTGATAACCTCGCACCCGGTGTTGACGAATTTGATGTAACCATCTTCGCCACGGAGCAGGGTAGAGGGATAAGAGTAGACCACCACCCTCGTAGTGCCGAGGTGGCGTTACCACATCGTTGCCGACCTTATTGTCCAGAACGCGCACTTGAATGATGAAAGAGCCAGATGGACTTTTGTTGTTTTGTTTTTCTTTGTTGACTTCGCTGTTGATAGGTTGACCGAACAAAAGATTAACGTCGGCCATCTTGATGCTAGAAATGCTTTTTCCATTGCTCCCACGTATAATCGTAGTCCTACAGGCGATTATACCTCTTCTTCGCTTGACCTCGTAGTTTATCTTATATTCTGAGGAATATAAGATAAACTGCCGTCAGGGTCGAATTCCGGGGTCAAAGATACAAGATGTACTTGTGACTTATTTGGAGTTGGTCAACATGGCATGGCTTGTCTTTGGCTTATATAGACTCATCCCCTCCAAGTGGCTGGCATTTGTGGTTGGCAGGCATGGCGGTTGGCTGGAGGGTTGGTCAACATGGCATGGCTTGGCTTGGCTTTGGCATTGGCTATGGCTTGGCTTTGGCATTGGCTATGGCTTGGCTTTGGCTTGGCTTGGCAGGATGTGACTGGCGACGTCACGTCCGTTACAAACAAGAACTAATGTCTGATGAAAATGACTTTTTTTCCAGATGGCAATTAATTCATTCAGTAGAAAGGCAGTTGCTTAGTGAACACCTAACCGGTATCCTTAGCAAGGGCTTGGGGCTCTGATGGATGGACCCTGGTAACACGACCTAACCACACTTTATAACCTCTTTAGTAGAGTGAAAGACGGACTGACTGAACTGTGTAATCACTTCTTGTTATTGCTTATAATAAATAACAATTACTGGATTCAATTGCGTTTATTTTTTGTTATTAAAAATATAGTACTGCTCTATTTGAGTTATATATGATATACCATATCAACATATACTTGATTATGTCTTCCAGAGAATTTTAAAATGAAAATCCACCATACTATATTTTATTTATTAATTAATAAGAATTGATTTTGCTTTATGAATTTATTTTTCAGTTTCAAAAGCTTTTAATGATTTAAACATATAACATAGTCATAAACATGACTGTATGTTTACATATATTTGACAAAGGCTTGTTAATTTTTATTAAATAAATGTATATTTCTTCAGAAAAATGGACGTACGATAGTAAAAGAACCAGAACGTGATAAGACAATGGTTGGCGAACTGCTGGCATTCCAAGAACAGCTAGACAACATCGTGACTGGCTGCTTCCAAAGGAACGATCGCTTCCTCTACTCCATGAGGGAGGCTTTCGAGTTCTTCATCAACCAGTGACAGAATAAGCCAGCCTGCTGAACTAGGGTAGTAGGACTTCAAGTATTTAGTTACAGTGGATAAATACAATTTTTTTAAAGTTAAGATTTTTAAACATTCAATGAGCTCTCTCACCAATAAGTTTAGCAGGCTTATTCTGTCGCTGGTTGATAAAGAACTCAAAGGCCTCCCTCATTGAGTAGAGGAAGTGATCGTTCCTTTGGAAGCAGCCAGTCACGATGTTGTCCAGCTGTTCTTTGAATTCCAGCAGTTCGCCAACCATTGTCTTATCACGCTCTGGTTCTATTACTATCATATGTCCTTTATAACTGTGAGGCCATCTAAAAGTGAAAAATTAAGTTGGGTTGACTAACATTCATACGTCGCTTTTGACATTAAAATTTACTATGGTAAACCTAGACAATCATTTGGATTTTAATCTTTTTATTGGTTTAACAGTTAAGAATATAGAAGTAAATAAACATCTGTCATCATCAGATCGTTCAGGATAATTAAAAAAAGGATTTTGGATTTAAATAACCCCCTTATTTGTGACTTAAATTTTTGGAAGCAATTGTCCAGAATTATATGTATTGATCGAAGAATATAATTTACAGTATTAAAAATATTTCAACAGTTCCATGGCATCAATGTAAAGAGGTGAATAGCAAAACTTTATTCAGAAAATCTCAAATAGATTACCTTATGACTACACATATTTTCAACTGCCTGGTATAGCTCTTCCAGCGAATAATCTATTGATTTTGAGGTCTGTATGGCGACATTACAGCCTCTCGCAATTTGCTCCATGTCGTCTCTTGGTAATTCTCTGGAAGACTCGGTTTACCTGCAACATATGCATATTATTTAACCAAATGTCATAAAGGTTATGAAAATACGTCTGCAGGTCACAAGTATAAACACACTTTTAAAGTTCTTTATAACCAGCTTCTTAGCAGTCGCCCCGGGCTTGGTCATTGACGAGGCCAGTTTAATTGCTATACTACTACCATTTGAATTGGGCTTTAAAATTGAAAAAGTCGCTTTCTTTTCACTAGAACTCATGTCCTCTAATTGTGCTCTTTTCGTGCAATGTTCGCTATTGGTATGAAAGCGTTTTCTACGCTGATTACCACCCTCCTTAACCAAATCTTGCGTTTAAGCTAATTCCGACGTAAGAAAGCATATTATGGCCGCAGCCACAACGTAATTTAATATAATAAAATATAATGTATAAGAAATTATAATGCAAAAGCGTTCAGCCGCTATTTCCTAGCAAAACCACCATTAAAATTTAAAAATAATTGTTTCCTTATTTTTGAAAATCGAAATAGAGTTCGTTATTATGAATATTTTTTAAACAATTGGCTTTTCAGTTTTTGGCCAGGCTAAACGACACGACGCGAACTACAGAGTATAAATAGCTCCAAGTTTACGACTATACTTCTTTGTCTTGTATATTATATAATTCTGTTTAAAATGAAGGAAATAATCTTGTGAAACAAACATAATTTAAAAAAAAAATTTTTTTAATAAAATTTATATTGATTATCGCAACGGAAATGTCACATTCGTTAAAGTGTTTCAATACTTAATTCTTATTTTAAAGTCAATTCTTAATATAATTAAAGTATTATGCTTCAACTTAATTTGTATTTATTAAAATTAAACAAATTGAAGAGTTAAGTAAGCTGTCAGAAGGTTATATGAATTATTGTTTAACGTCATCTAATGTGCTGACTATCTCAACTAATGTCACTGTCATGTACTGAATTGGTATAGTCCTTTTCATGAAAGAAGTCCCGCGGAGATTTTTGGAACTTAATTTGACAGGTCGGCCATGTTGTCGTTAGTCGATGTTATCAAGTTCGTTTGTTGTGGTAGATTTTTGTGAGTTTTTAACTAGCTTAGTACATTTTAAAGATTGTTTACAATGCCAAAAGTTGTAAAAAGTTCGGCTGGATAAATGATATTGAAAATGAAAGAGTTCTGTGAAGCGGAACAAAAGAATCAAGGTATTTTAATACCACTAAACAATGTTCGCCGCCATAACAGGTACTTTTTAGAGTTGCCACATAATAATTTTTTGCTGTATTGATGGGACTTTTATGATATAAATTCATTTTTGCAACAAAATTTAACAAATACGTAACGAATTAAACTAGGTAACTGAAATTAAAAAATATATTGGTAACGATGCGAAAGAGAAGACCCTAAATTTGGGGTGCGGGGAGAGGGGGAGGGGGGTGGGAGGGGTGTAGTAATCACCCCCCACAAATTTTGCGCTTAGGAAACCAAAAAAAAAATTTTTTTTTTTTTTTACCTGGGGAAACCCACTTACGGGCCCCCACGCCTGGGCAAGTGAGAATGGCGCGGGGAGTGTGGGGGTCAAGGTCGTAAAATGCGATGACCCCATACCCACTAAAACCACCAGGGCCCAATCCATAGTGCATGTAGAGCCGGGTCGTGGTAGCAGCCAGTAGGCTTCTATCCACTTCAGCAGCTCTTCAGCAGCAGTGAATGAAAAAATAAATTAACATATGTAAGCAAAATAAGCAGTATAGCATAATAAGCAATATAGCAAAATAAGAGTATAGTAAGGTGTTATTTTAATTTATAGATATATTTAATTGCTATAAGTAGCTCCGAAAAGGGGTCTTTTTTATATTTCTTATTGTTTCGCCGCCATAGGTATTCGTATAAATGATCAGTGAAATTTTCGGTATTATTAAAATTATAATTATCTTTCTTAAAAAATCGCTTAACTGCTCTCCATTGAGACTCGATTCTTTGTGTATGTGTTCCATCTTCAGCCACAAAGGGGTTGTCTGGATCCGAGTGGTTGACCTTCTTATGTAGGTATCCATGCTCAGACAAGCAATCATATGCTCGCCAGAAGTCGGTGTGGATGGTCGTGCCGACTTCTACGTGTTTCTGTATTAGAGGAACTAATACTTCCGCTGAGCGAATATTATCTGAGCACACTTCCAATCTCAGATCTTCTGAATTGTCTTCAATCATACCGAGGACCCAATGGCCCTCAATATGTCGTCCTACAACAATTAAAGAATTAAAATAACACTCTTGGGGTAAAACGGACTTGTAACACATCAGTTGGGTAAAACAGACTTGTAACACAATCAATGTTGTCATTAATGCGGACCTAACATAACCAAAATCTAGTTTACATGTAGATAAATAATAATGTAACAGTTAACATGTAGTAAATATAATTTATTGAGCTATAAAAGACTTACCTCGGTTGTATTTTCGTTTCCCAAATTTTGATTCGTCTATCTGCACAATCTTCCCTGGGCCACCAATCTTTCCTTTAAATTGATTTTTGTCCATTTGATAAATAACTATGGTTTCTCTACAATAATTAAACCAATCATTAATAGTGCCTCGACTTAAGCATTGTTGTCTATCTTCTTTATATGGATCTTCATTAATAGTTGTATAATAACTCCAATTTTGTGAATATGCATATAGTAAATAGAAGACATGTACTAAGTCTAATTTAATGTTTTCGAAAAATGTTCCTTTATTTCTAGATACTCTTGATTTTGTTTTGCAAATTCCTTTTCCACAAGACCATGTGCCAAATGTTTTATTCGTCGATTTAATTATTTTCATGGGTACACGATGTCTTCCACATTGCTTTTGAGAATGCACTAATCCATGTTCTTCAGCGAATGCCATACACTGCTCATTATTGCCTAAAGTTTTATTTACTTTAGTTAAATTCCACATTTTGAGAACTTCATCTTTAAAAAGATGACGATCCTCCAAGGGCCCATCATCCTCAAATGCCGGTCTACCAAGCGTTGTGCTGGTAGACGGTTCAGATTCAGTATCAAATCTGAGCAAGAAATCAGTATCTAGTATGTATGTAAAGTGAAGTTTAAAAAAAATGCTAATAAAATAACGCACATTCACGTAAAAAGTAACGGCTTTTTAACGGATATTTTGCACTTTATCACTTTTCACACAGGTTATTTTAAAAAATATTAATATACTAACCTAAGATGATGATGGTCCTCAGAAGCCGGTCTAGGAAGCGTTGTGCTTGTAGAGTTCGGTTCAGGTTCAGTAGGTTTGGTGGTACCACACCCACGTCCACTATTTGTAGACGCCATTATACGAAATCTGAAAATGATCGCAAGAAATCAGTGTCTAGTATGTATATAAAGCCAAGTTTTAAAAAATTGTTAATAAAATAACGCACATTCAAGCAAAAATAAAAAAACCTAAAAAGTAACGGCTTTTAACTGATATTTTGCACTTGATCACTGTGAACAAACACTGTTCTGGCAAAATCCACATTCGAAATGGCCGATTGCGTTTATACTTTATAAAATTAATAGAGATGTGAAAAATAATCTATTCTGTGAAAGTGAAAATCGATTTTAGTATTCGATATAAATCCGATTTTAAATCCGATTTTGTATTCGATTTGAGTTTCAGTTGAACAGTTATTTAAAAAAAATATTTATATACGGTTAGTATATTAATATTTATATAACGTAACCAATCTAAATAATATTTGTTTTTGTGGACAGTTCCGATCTAAATAGTAATTGTTTATTGAAGCCTCGGCTTCTCGGCGTCCTGGTCGCCTTCGGCGACCAAATATTCATATACTAACTCTAACCTAACCAATCTAAATAATATTTTTTTTGTGGACAGCTCCGGCGCTACGGGAAATGCAGCCCCTCCACCCTTGCGTACCAAAGCACAGGCATTTTATTCAAGCCTCAGCCGCTACAGCTTTCATAATGCCAGTGCTTTGTTACAGCGGGTGGGGGCTGCTCTTCCTCCGCGCCTCCGATTATTTATATACACTCTAGGGGTAAGGCAGACAAGACCACGTGGATAGTGGGCTGCTCTGATTCGGTTTTGGGTACTATTTGAATAATTTAATAATTTTCGGAACCATACATTAATTAAAACATGAAGTTAATGTAATGTATGTACATTTGACAAGTAATGCTTAAATTAGGTTCAACTATAAAATTAACAAATGAGAAAATAATCGATTCGATTAGGTTCAACTTTAAAAATAACAAATGAGAAAATAATCGATCCAATTAATTTACCGAAAATGTCACATCACTTATAACCAATAGAAAACGACAATGACACATCACTTATAACCAATAGAAATCGAGAAAGTCACATCTCTTATAACCAATAGAAAAGTAGTTAGATAATGGCGGATTGTTTATAATTTCAATACAATTGACAAAAGTTAAAAAAATTTTTTTAAAATACTTTGACGCTTATCCTAAAGCTAAAATCACTTGGAGGTGTTCCAATCAAGGGTCCCCGAGACTCCTGCATAATCAGTATCATCAAATTCCATCGCATTGATATCAACCCCAACCCAATATATTACATACATAGTTACATAAGCATTATAAACTAAAAGTTACTATTATTTTTAATTGTTCATTATTTAATTGCATGTAACAATTGCTGTAACAAGAATTACAAATGAAGGTATAACAGCGGCCAGTACTTTGAAATAAATTGTCACCCCGGTGAAGAGTATCAATATAAAAAAGAACAATTATATCTACGGCTAGTGATACTAAAACAGAATCTGATTCTGTTTCCATCCACTCTTCAGCCGCTGATCTAAAATTATTCAATAAAACTCTGAATAAAAAATTGTATTGCTTTTAATATGCTTTTATCCCTGTAAGTAGGTAGAACACCGCTTATATAAGTAAATAAAAATATACTTTTTACATTACAGAAATATTGTTTCATAGAAGTATGCAGAAAATTGTCTTATTTGATTAAAATAGGTAAATTTTTAACTCATAAATGGCAACATTACGTCATGCGATTACAGCGCTGCGCCTGGGGGACTTCTTTCATGAAAAGGACTATAACTCGAATGCATCGATATTAAGTTAGTACTTAGTGCTTCCGTTTAGTTCCAAATATGCTCATGGAGCGCTGCGCATTTTTTCCATTAAAAACTTCGGTTTTGTTTTGCTATGCAGTATGCACTTATTTAATATCTCGTACATCGCCAGCGACCTACAGAATATTATCGTTTTCACAATGTTATTTTTTCATTTAACTAGTTATTGAACACATAACATGGCCTATAAGTTAATGTAAATATATGGATATTTAATAATGATTATAATAATAATCAAACATAATAAGTAAAACTGTGGCTGCTGACTGAATCTTTACGTTTAGCCAGTGTAGTAAAGATGATTAGATAGTGGGAAAATAATAGTTAGCCTAAATAGAAGAGTCTTTCCGCCATCTTTTGGCCATGGAATACCGTGCCACAGGCGCTAACTACAGATTTTGGCAAGCGTCTAGAATTAGTGCCTTTCTCGTACAACGTCGAAATGCAATAAGGGCTGCAGGTGGAAGTTACTCTACCATAGACAAATCTATTCTAATGTTTTACAGTAATTAATATACCCATTAAATTAAGATTCCCTTGTATATTGCTAAAATTGTTGTAAGATAATAAATTAGTCCTTCAATATACAAAAGTTTTACTATCATCTTCTCTTTCGAGCGTTACGTGTAGACTGTAGTTGGTCTTTGTTTTTCTTAAATACGCTTTATCAAATTACTAGTACTGGATCTAGATTCTAGGTCGACATCTAGTGTACGTGCCGGGAATATAGTTTATTTCCACTGAAGTAGTTCCAACCAAGAATTTGATAGAGTAATAATCAAATATTTCTATGTAAAATCCGAGAGCGCTTTTTGTGGTAACTGAGTTTAATATTTTATTATTATGTTGTAGTATGTAGAGTTTAAGAAGAAAGGGACTTCTATGAAAATTGCGAACATATTGCAAATGTTACTTTTAAACAGATGTTTAAAAAGCGTAGGTATATAGAATTTAAAACATGTACGTATTAGTCGATTTAAAATATGATAATGGTTAGCACAATTAAGTGGTATTGTAATATCGTCCACTTACACCCTCGTGCAGGTTTCGGCGGGGGAGTAACAAGTGGGATGCGTCCCGCGCTCTCCCCTTCATTCACTCAGTGTTCGTCCATTCACTCCGCGTTACGGACCATAGTGCAACCTCTAACGCGTGGGTGTTCGCTGCAATACGCGCGCTATTTGACGTCATTATTTTGATACTGACGTAAACGTGTCTAGGAGTTATGCGTATTTAGTCACCATGGGTGAACAGACATTCAATATTTCAGATGACAATTTAGAGCAGCATATAGTGACTTTATTTGAGAAATTAGAGTGTTTGCGTAGTAATTCTAATGAAGCGAGTTTGGGGGGCAGAGTGCCGGCCAGGTTGGAAGTGAGGACTTTATCACTGTGGAAGGCTGTAGTTGCCGAATGTGCGGCGTCTTTCTTGTATGTTTTTATCGTGTGTGGTGCAGCAGGTGGTGCTGGTATCGGGGCATCTGCCTCAGCTGTCTTACTTTCCACAGCTCTCGCTTCCGGTTGCGCTATCGCAACGTTGACTTTATGCTTCGCTCACATATCAGGTATATTATAATTTTAACTATGTTTAAAATTGAGAAAGTTTATTAGTATTAAATAAACAAGAAAATACACTGGAAAAGAAATGCGTCAAATTAGTTCCATTCTATTCAATCAATCCCTACAAAAAAAGGGACCCGGAGTTTCGCGTCATCTTATATATAATCGTTTATCTAAAAAATAATACAAATGACGCTAAAAAGTTAATTAAAGTCGCCCGGTGCATTATGTTTTTCTTTTTCGGTGATTATATTTCATGTGTCAATAAATACAATAGACTTTGACTTTGACTAACATAAGAATTCTGCGATCGACTTCAAGATTTCATACTTAAAAGTGTCAATACATTTTTAAACGCGACTAAAAACAGATATTTTTACTAACATATACTACTATATATATAACGTATACCTCAGTAATCATTTGTATGCAGTGCATAAAACCCACAAAAATTGAAAGGAATATCGGCGCCTGCGCATGTTTCTACCTGCTCGTCAACAGGCCAGGTGTTCTCGTAATTTTTTCTTTTTGTATACCGGTATTTTGATAGAATACGCTCTGCCAATATCTTATCGTGCTTTTGTTAGTGTACTTATTTAACATCTGGTACGGACACTGAACTGTGTTAAAGAAAATAAAATCGTAAATTTATAAAGAATACAGTAATTATTAGACGCTCGATTCTAGAAAATATTAGATATCTCTTATAGCAAAAATGTGGTTAAGCAAATATAAATAATCTTTAAAATTACATTTGGCTATGACTACTAGTTTTTTTAACTCATAGATTGCTCGATGTATCTGAAGGCCAATTATTTAAAACAAGGAAAGTTTTCAACTTGGTTTGGTTTATAGGTACGTTTTGTTATTCTTCATGTAGGTTTCTAGTTGTAGTAATATGAACAGTACTTTGTAACTTCTAATAGCCAAACCTATATTTTCCGACGGTTTTCCATGCAATTTCGATATAGACCTTTCAATACGCTGAAGTCCAACATATCGTGTGCTCTGAAATTTAGTGTTACCTGAGCAAAAAGCTGTGTTCTTCTGTTTTATCTATAGCATATAATCTACTCTAATATAGTTTGACAAGGAAATTGTTGTAAACTTCCTTGACTTAAATATAGTTGAGATATAAATAATTATTGATTATAGATATGGTATTCAACATTATTCACACGTGTCTGTGTTCACCCTTTCATCCCCTCATATATTTATGGTCTCGAAGGAACAATGACATTTTAAATTATATCAAATTGAGAACGCGTGTTCATGAGGCACTAACAATTGAGGTCTAATTTTGAACTTAGCGTATAATAACAGGGCTGTAATAAATCTTTAAAATATGCCGATGTCACCCTAATTTGGTATAATGGGTCGACATCCCTATTTCAAGGACTAAGAGTATTTATATGTATCATCCCTGTTATTAATTTGTAATGTGGTCAAATAATTTCTTGGAATGTAGATTAAAAATTGCCGCTTTCTGGTATAATTCTAATTTTTCTCCCTATTGCATAAAATAATGAAATGATTTTTTCTATGATATCTATGGTATAATACTTTATTATAGACGGCGAAGATAAAAGGTCGATTGTGACTAAATTTAATGGCTGGATAAGTTAAAAGCGAAACATTTAAGTTGTCATTGCAATAAATGCCGAATTCGGCGTGTAGTCGTTTACCTACATATAGCATACCAAAAGCGAACAAAATAACAACTATATCTAATAGCCTAGTTAGAGAGCGGTTCAACCCTTAGGTCCTGCGTCATCATCTTTTAATCATTTTAATCTAATCAAAACTACATAATTAATTATTATTATTCGTCACCATTACTCAGCCAACTTTTTAATAAGAATAGACAACACAGATGCTATTTACATACTCATGTCTTAAACTATTAACATTTACTAACTAACTATTCTATGTATAATATTTTACGGTTTCGATATTTGTAAATATGTGAGGAACATGTATACCTACTAACTTTTTTAGTATAGTAGTTTTATTCTAAGAGTACATTGTCTTCACATATAATTATTTAAGTAACTAATGTAAACCAAATATTGTAAACCTATTTTAAAAGAGTAAGTGTGGAGTTTCTTGCCCATTCTTCTCCACACGAAACTACATTTTGGAAGGGGCAACTAAAATCTTCTTTATATTTTATTTGACGTTCAAAGGTGTCATTTTAGGTGGTCTAATTGATATAAATGATTTGACTTGACTTGACTTGATAGACTTGACAGATACATAACTATGCGTTCGAATCCCGTCTATGTAGCTTTCTATGTGCGTAACATACGTCATACATATGCGTTTTAATAAATTAAATAAATTTGTGAACGTACTAAATACTACACGTTATGATCGTTTTTATTTAAACCTATTAAATGGTTATTCCCTAAATCTATCAATCGGGAATAGAAGGCTGAAATGAAAGACACTCAGAAATCTAAGGGGCCAACAATTTTGTTTATATTATAAGTTTGCATTTTTCTCTACCCTATAGATACAGGATTACCTTTTACAACTAAAAAGAAATAGGTCAGAAAAATGCCCATTAACAATAAAATTCATTCAGAATTAATACTCCCTAGAGTATGAAAGTTGGAATTCTGTGCATTTTCGTTTATATCAAGCTGGTTATTGTTATGACAAATTCCCGTCACGAGCGTTATATTGAGGACAAATGCTACGATTTCATCTCTTTCATTTTATTTCTACATTTCCCCGCGCAGTGTAATAAAATGCCTACCTGCCTGCCATTGTACCAATTTTTTACATTCGCTTCTTAACCAGATCGTTATCAGCTGTTCTTATTTCGTAAAGTAAATTTTATTTTTTATTTATTTAACTTTTTATAATCCACACCTTTGTAATACGATAAGTATATTTTACAATAAATAATAATGCTATATCACTATTTCCAAATTTTTTTTACCATATAGTAACTCAAATTATATACAATGTTTTAAGTGTTCTCACTTGTTCCAGGAAGACCCAGCTCTTCCGTAACTTACATGGTAATAAATAAGTAACTACGTGATATTTATTATATATAATAAATAGATACAATATAATTTTTTAACTGAAAGCATATTCAAAAGGATTACCCCATAAATGACGAAGATTAAGTACTAACAAAGACAATGTAATAATTTGCCTGTTGAGGTGTGTGTGAGAATTTGCAATGTATGGGTTCGTATGTGCGTTTGGAGATAATTTAAAATAAAATATACGAAATAACAGACAATTTTAAAAATGAATTCGAAATATACGAAACTAACACTACATTGAAATGTTGCGTACACGTTTATTTTTGCGGAAATTGCGAATAAAAAAGTCAAAGGAAGTTTTTCAGTTAGTCAGTTTTTTTGGGACTGATGTCAAAAACCTTTCTGAATACAGTAAAAGTGTTAATACAATATAAATCAATCGTGGATTAATCTATAATAATATTTGTTTTAACTCAAAAATAACTGGACTGATTACCGCAAATATTTAGTATGTCAGTATGTTTTGCAGTATATTTACAAGTAAAATATAGAGAGAGATTAGTATCTCAACGGGTTTGCCCGGCTTCCGATAGTCAACGCAGTTTATGTTCGAACCAAGCTTCGCTAAAACTGCTATTTTGATGTCGTCCTATATTGGCATCTATCCAGAATTTAACCCTAGTTTGTGCATTACATATCTCTCTATATGTAAGGTTTCAGGTAATATTTGTACGTGCTTTTAATCGAAAAATCTTTTTAATACGTCAGAATATATTTTTATTTCTTAATAGATATTTCTTATGTATTATTTATGGTCGGTCAAGATAATGCCGAAGTATTCACTTACACTTGCCCTCTGCTAAAAATTGCTAGTACAGACTACAGATTACTCAATCATGAAATTAAGTTAATGATATTGTATAAACATTTATATACATACATACCTTTTAGGTCTGGGCCTAAGATTTCGGTCTATGCCCGGTTTTCTCACGATATTTTTCTTCACCGTACGAGGCAATGTTAAAAGCGCACTTAGTTAGCCAGGAAACTACAACCCTAGGGATGAAAGTCCCACGTTGAAACTACAAAACACTGCTGCATGTTAAAAATATTTAACAATCCTTTTACTCGTACTACGCGTTATAAATTCCATATAAAAAAGCAAAAGAAAATGTACCCGAAGTTTTTAAAACGAAATGGAGATGGAAATTATTACAAATTGCAGTCGCAATTCACAATAGTCAATATCGTCGTGTTTGAGTATTTTTTAATGTAGTTCGGTTGTTTATTTTTTCCGAACACCGATTTATAAAGGAACGTTTATAGTGAAAAGTGTTTAATAACTAAATATGTTTAACAAGTTCTTTCCACTTGACCGTATTCAAGAGCGATTTCGAATCGTCGACGACCAGTCACTTTCCGAGCGGCTTCATCCCTTGGCGTTGCGTAGAGATGTAGGGTCTCTCTGCATCTTCTACCGCATTTACCATGGAGAGTGTTCAGAGGAGTTGTTCGAATTATTACCTGCAGCTGAGTTTCAACATCAGACGTCGAGGCAGAATATGACCTGTATCACCTCGACGTTCGTCGACCACAACTGAGCGTTTTTTAAGGCAGTTTTTGCCGCGCACCAACATTATGGGGAAACACCTGCCCAGTGAAGTACTTGAGAACCAAATCGACTTAGGGTCCTTCAAGAAAAGAGCGTACTAAGTCTGTCTTATCCTGAGTATACCGTTCTTTACTAATATTCTGCCGTATTGGCATTTATCGCTCTTCTCTTAATGTGTCGTTAGTGCGTTGAATAATAAGATAACACTACATGACTCACTCTGTTTTTAAAAGAGTTCGCTTGAAATATATTCCATGGTTTAAAAGATCTACGACGTAGCGCCAACTGCCATTTTACGCAATCAAGTTTTTGACATACGGAAGTCATACTTAGCACGAACCCCCAGACATAGAGTCGACATTTAGCGCTAAGCACTCCCTCATCAAAACATACGGGTCGTAGTGCGACTCTAAGATTCAAAGTCGCACTAGCGCGTATTATACTGGTGAAAGTCACCATTTGTTTTAAAATCGTTTATATTTTTTTGGACATACAAAAAGGCTTCAAGAATATATTGACCAGATAGTGTCATAATATTTAATTCCTTAAACTTATTCCGTACCGATAGAACGTACGACCTCAGGGATGAGAGTTGCACACAAAAGCCACGATATTATTATTACTTAATTTATTAAACAAATTAGAGGTTTTCTATTCAATTAAAAAAACATAGAACCTTACATATATGTGTAAACTGTAAATGTATGCAAATTGTATGTACTTTGAACGTAATTGGTCGTCGTTTTACGAAATTATATCCCGCATAGCGCAGCCTCTGTGGTTTTAGTTAAGCTCTTAACAAAATATTTAAATTGTTTCGAATTATTAGGCTTGCTAGCTTTTTTTATTAGCTACACAGAATATAACATGAATTAAGATCTGGATCTGGCGAACTTCGTACCGACTAAAAGTATGAATACAAAATAAATACATGTTAAGTACAGTACTTTATTAAGAAATTAACACAAAAATAATAAGCGTCTGAACGCATAAATATTGGACACGCAATATGTTTTCCTTATTCATTACTGACATTTTTTTAAATTCAAAATACGCCATTATTAGAATGTTGTAGATATATCTTTTCCGAAACCTTTGTTTAAATACGTTCTTTAATTTGAGGGGAGAGTTTATAGTATCGACGGCATGAACATTATATGGATTGACAGTTACGAAACTCATGAACATTTTGTATTGTAAATTTATTTTATTTTTACCTCAATTAAATGTTTTAATAGCTATTTGGAAGACAAATACCACAATAGAAGCATGAAAATCGGTACAGCCATTCTCCAGTAATAAGTGTTCGAACCAACCCAAATGTGGTCATATATTTTAACTTAAATTCTTGTCTTTATCGTAATTTTAGTAAATATTCAGGTGAAGCTGCCTCTTTGATAAACTTATACTCTCTGTAACTTATTTTAATGAATATAACATACATTTAAGTTCGCCATACTCCAAAAATTTATGGATTTCCCAGAGTGATAATAAATTCCAGGTGCTCACGTGAATCCAGCTGTGTCAGCAGCGTTATGTATCCGGCGGCGTGTGTCACCGCTACGTGCGGCTCTGTACGTTGCTGCTCAATGTGGAGGCGCCATAGCTGGTGCAGCTGCTATTTACGGGTAAGTTATATACATTAATTAATAAGTCAGTGTTGATCTTAAGATACCCTATTTATAAAAGATTTGAGTTTAAAAAGTTATTTTATATTTACGTTTAATCCTACAAAGACTTAGGTTTGTTCGTTTTCTGCCGAAAAAGATCCTTTTGTCGTGTCTCCTCAATTTGAAGGCGCTCTCCTTAGTTCGTCACACAGCCTCAGTATCCTTGGAGTTGGCATTTCGAAAGAAGTCTAATTTCGCAGTCATCTGGAAGAAAAAGCCAAACTGGCTTCCAAAAAGCTGTGTGTTTTGGGTAGGGCTAAGCAGTATTTCACTGAGGTGCAACGTATGCAGCTCTACAAAGCTCAAGTACGACCTCATATGGAATACTGCTCGCATCTCTGGGCCGGTGCTCCCAAATACCTTACTGAAACTCCAATGTCTTACTGATCGGCTTGATTCTCTCTCGCTACGCAGAGACATTGCGTCTCTTTGCGTTTTTTACAAAGCTTATTACGGAGAGTATTCGGAAGAATTGTTTGGGTTGATCCCTCCTGCCTCTTTTCAACACCGTACGAGCCGAACGACCTCTAAATTTCACCAGCATCATCTTGATGGTTGGAGGTCTTCCACGGTCCGCTTCACAAGGCATTTTCTTTTGCGAACTAGCGAACTGTGGAATCGGCTACCGGGGGGGGTCTTCCCTCAGAGATACGACCTCCAAATGTTCAAAAAGCGAGCCTACTCCTCCCTCAAAGGCCGACAACGCACCCACTAAAAATGGGTGTCTATGGGCTGCGTAGACTGCCCTTTTTGGTCGTCCCGCAAGCTCGTTTGCCCCCCTATTATATTAAACAAAAAAAAATACGTATTTACTTAAACGATTCGTACTCTTCTACTTCTACGAGACTTACATCTAGTAGATATATATGTATATATTTAACAATAACTGGATATTTAATGAACTACTCTAATGCTAATACTAATCTAATAATTACGGCTGTTGAGGTATGATTCAAAATCAATATATAAAGCAAATATGGCTTCCGTCAGACGTTTAAATTTTTGAGATGTGGGATTTGATTTAGAATGCAATTAATTAATATATATTTTAAGATATATTTCGAATTGGTTTATTAACTATATTTTCATGTAGGAATTTATATACATATATTAGACAGTTTTTATTACCCAACTAGTTTCCGACCGCGTAGTGTTCATTCAAGATATTTAGATAGCTCTTCAACAATAATTTTTATATTTCAATCTATTAAAACCTTGCACTCGGGCATCGCAATATTGGTGAAAATCATACAAAAATGCGTTCGGTAGTTTTTGAGTTTAACATGCACGACCGAGGTACTTATTTATAGTATGGAAGGATATAACAATAACACGCTTAAAAAAATACATATAATAACTTATCGCAAAATGAAACGCCGAGATAAAATTGCAGTTGTAAAAAATGAAGCGCGCTAAATCATTATTAAAAGTTGCACTCGTTAAAAATTTAAAATTTTTATTCCAACTCCCGCATTTTATTTACTGATTTAAGTTGTGCTTGCCATATTTAATTTTTAATGACACAGTTCCATTTTCTGTTTTAATTAACTTCGGGACATCGCGGCGTACATAGCATGATATGTTTGAGAAGACAAAAGCCAATTTACCTGCGGGGGTGACTTTTATATTGCCCCTTTTAACCATAGCTTCATCAGACTATTTTCTGTAGTATTGGTTTCCTATAGTATATATAGTCTACTAATACTAATATATAAAATTCTACTCTTCGTTCCCATACTCTTACGAAACGGCTCCACCGATTCTTACGAAATTTTTTATGCATATTCAGTAAGTCTGAGAATCGGCTACTATCTATCTTTTAAACACCTAAGCGATTGGTGTCCCCCAATTTTTTTTTTATTAAAAAAAATTGTTTTAATTTTTTATTTTACAGCATATAAAAATACTTACAACCCCTAATTTTCACCCCTCTAAGATTTATTAATGTAATTTGTTTTTTTTATTGAACTAAAATAAATGTTTCCTTGAAATAATATACATGGCAAAACAAACGTTAGCCGGGTCAGCCTGTATAGTATAACATAGAATTTATTTATAAAAGCTTGCCAACGCTCGGCACGCTGATGCATTGGTATAAGAAAAATAAAATACAAGATTTAATGTGACAAGCATTTATAGGCAGAAAACACGAAAAAATAAAAATTAAACCAAAGATTAAATTGTAAAACTGAAGCAAAATTGATTTCAAAGTGTGAGGAGAGCAACTATGGATACCAAGAACTTGCTCGTTTATTATAAATGCCCAATCTGGATATCGCTGAGTTTTGGCCAAAACGCGTTCTTCTGAAAGGGACTATGGGATGATGGCTAAATCTAAAAGTACACGAAATTTAAAATTAGTTAAATGGTTGGGGCAATCAACCTTTCACTTTAAAAATCTTTTCAAAAATTTTACGTTTCGCCGTATTCTACGTTTGTAGAAAAAACGAAAATAACAAAAGAAAAAATTTACTCTCATTATTTTTCCCTAACGCGCCAAAAGAAGTATAACTTCAAAAGCTTCGTTTATTATTTTGACGCTAAGGACACTGATTTGTTTTATTATACGTAGATATTAAAATATTGGCAGATAAACACAGATTTCGTTCGGTAAATGTTTGGGAATGTTAAAAATATTGACGTGACTCTCCCTTAACAAACAATCCATCTCACATCATGCTTATCTAAGCATATATAGGACATATCTATTTGCATTCGGAATTATTATCTTTATGATTGACTGGACCACGTATGCGTATTTTAAACCTTCTTAATAATTGTAGTATAAAAATCTTTTTAATTATCACTTTGTGCACACAGGCAATACTTTTTTAATTGAGGTCATGCCTTTTATGACTCATTTTTGTCTTTGCTGAATGCTTCTTCAATGTTGTACACCTTCTCCATGGCTAGATCACTTGATATAAAGTTTTTCGTTATCTGTACCTCAGCGAACTATATGTACAAACAGATCTCTTGGTAACTAACTGTTAAAGATGTTGACTTGTAAAATTGTACATAATAATACACATATTATAAGCAATATTGTTTATTAAAACCTAAACATAACAATCAAATATACAGTATTAACAATTTTCTTAACCTACATAGTAATAATAATAATAAAAAATTTATAAACAAAGAATTAAAACAAATTCGGTAGGCAGCGTTTCCTCGCTACATTGCAATACTTATTCGTTGAGCGAGGAAAGCCCCAGCTGAGCTTTAAAGGCCCTTAAGAACAACAGCGAGATTCCATTAAAAAAAAAAACACCAGCTCTGGGATCACCGGTACTATTTACTAGGCGCCAATTTAAATCTTTAATTAGCGCCTGTACACATGAACCCCACGCCCCAAGACTCCAAAGGGAACGAAATGGATGTTGGAGGAGGAAATATTATTATTTTATTTTAAACGTTGACATGGTTATTAATTAGATTCAGCTTTTTTGGTGATTCTCGAACAGAAACAATAGTTGTTTTGCCAGAAGTTGAGACCAACAAAACAACCCACGCCAAGTTGGACGACATAAAGCCAATTATAAAATTCATCAATAATTTTCGCTATTGGACATTACTACTAGCGTTGTTAAAACACCGAATGTGTTAATATATGAATATGTAATTTAGTACTTTGAATATTACTTGTTATCTTTTTTATTTATTTTTTTCTATATTATAAAGTTCCGCATCATATATATAATATATATATATATATATAGGTGCTGAAGCACCTAAGTCTAGATTTAAGGGTCCCTGCTAGTCGACACTTAAGAATGTCTAAGAGTGTAAATTCGCAAGCACTTTTGGTTTCACGTTTTTTCATTGATATTTTACGTTTTAACTAGGAGTGTTTTTTAAAATTTAACTTTTAAGGTGTCTGCCCACTATCCCGTAGCATACCATGACCGTGCTAGGAACGTATCCAGCACGGAAAGCAATCCGGTACGCTCTATTTCGCCCACTGAAGCGGGCCGACAGCGTTCTGAACCCGTTTACAACCCGTATGTAACCCGTATTTAATCTGTATGATGCCCGTATGTGACACGGCAGAAATCTTTTCAATACACTCGTAAGGCATCGGTTCATTCTCGTACAAATATCAGTGTTAATATTGGACATTATTCAGGCACTTAGTTGATGACGGAGAAAAGTTTTTTCAGTACTTCCGAATGTGTACATTCTAATTTAACGCATTTAAAACTGGTTTGTAACGGTCATACTCCCCGCTCAGTCACCGGTCTGGCAACGTCGCGTGCCATGCACGTAGCGTGTCCGCACCGGCAAAATATTCCCTCCGACGAATAGTTGACGGCCCGTGCATGGCACGCTACGGTGTCGGCCGGTGACGGAACGGTCTAGTGGGCATAGTCTCGTACTTCTCAATACAAAGAATAGTTTTTTGTCTGAAACGGTCCTAGCACGGTCATGGTATGCTACGGGATAGTGGGCAGACACCTTAAAACAAATTCTGTCTTTTATTAAATTAAGGATTGTACAGAAAGTAGTTTTTTATGAAATGATTAGTCTAGATCTTAGTGTTAAAATGTTTTATCTAAAACTGTAAATGTTTCACGATTATAGCAAGCATGGTCAAGTTGTTGATCAATAAATATTATTAAAAATATGTATTTTTTTCGTTGTTGGCAACAGTTTTGGAACAATTAGTTTTTCTTACTAAGTGCGTAATTATTAAATAAAAACTGGTATGTTTTAGAATCCAAATATATACCACGGGAATATGATAATATATTTTAACCTTTCTTTAGTGAAAATACCTACGCCTATATATTTTCGTGACCAACGAGTAGTAACGGCACGTCGCGTTGGTGTTTTTACTTTTTAAAACGTAGTTAACTCGCAGCAACTGTACACTTTTGTCTTATTTCCCCGGGGCTCACTATGAGGGAAAAAATATTCTTTTACTTGAGTATCAAAAATATAAACCTATAATTCATTTTG